GAGGGGAGGAGGACGTGGAGGAAATCTCGGGAGAGTTACCAACTTAAATGGAATTTGCCGGAGGAAAGGGCTTTTCTCAATTATCGAGGAAGGGGGAAATGCCTGTACTACTTGAAGAAAAAAACAAACAAAATATAAATGAAAAAAACACGATTGTACGTAAACTCGAGTGGGAAATATTTAACGTAGTGCATTGATTGATGTTTTCCCGTTTTTTGTGATTTATTTACTTTTTTCATTATATTGTTTGTCACATTTACGATAATGACAGTGGAAAAATCTAAATTTCATTTTTTATTCCTAATTTTCTACTTTATAATCGTGAAGTATTTTTGGAAGCTTTCAGGATTGCAGCGCAATCCAATGAAGAAACAAGGCTTGCCTGAGGCTCCCCAAACAATACTTTACCAATAGATTAATACGTCTCACCCAGAACTCCACGTCGCATATTGGGAGACCGGAGTTTGCCCTTGCGGGAGCTAAACCCCTGTTAGGGAAAAAACTTGGTAAAATTTTAAAGAAATAAATAATAATAAAAAAAACCTACAGAAAATAGGTACGTGCATTGGGTCGACGCCTTATCTCACGTAGCGGTGAGCATCTCCCGCGAAAGAACGTTCACTGCACTTACAGGATTAATGGTTGCAGTTGACGCACCTGCACGGACAGAAAAGAACAGTTTGCAGTATACTACCAGACCCATGATACTGTAACAAGTTAACTTGTTTTTTATTTTCCGTTCTTTCTTTTTTTTTATGTGCGAAAACGCAAAAACATCCATCAACCGCGCGTTCTCGGCGAATGGGCGGTGCCCTTGCGCAACCGCTGGGCGTGTCGCCCCGTGCGTTGGGCGAGGCAAACGCGTGCGCGGAGGCGGGCGGGACCGACGCACGCGTGCGTTGGAGGGCGCAGGGAAAGGGCTATTTCCGTCGGCGGAAGGAAACCAGGCAGGCAGGCCAGGGAGGGGGCGTTCCTTTGACAGCCGCGCGCGGGACGTGAGCGGACACGTGCGCGTCGCCCGTCAAACAGCAGCGGGCACCCGGCGGGCGGCAGCGGCTGGAAAGCACGGAAGGCCGGGCTGTCATGCACTACCCAAGAACTTCACTGGGGGAAGAAAGAGGAAAACGTCGAAAAAAGGGTGAGGGAGAAATGAGGGAGAGAAGGGCGGAGATAAAAAAGAAGGGGTGGATAATTTTGAGCCAGGAACTCCTGTCACATTGAGATGTGAGTTATTTCTTTTCTAAGGATGGCCAATAGGGAAAGAACGGTAATGATCATAAGTATTGCTGAGAATGTCGTGTAGTTGTGAAGGCTTCTTTTGAATATGTTACATCTGAAAACAAGATGTCTCAACCAATGTCTTTACTTGTATCTAAATGGGAGCCCAATGTATTTGTAAAGAAATCCATTTAAAATAATCTATTTAGAGCAAGGTAATGCTATGAAATGCTCGAGTAATGCCAGTAAGTTTTAAACTGTAAAGTTGTTTCCCTGTTTTTCTTTTTTGTTAGCGTCTCGTGCATGAAAGGTTCAATTTTAAGTCTTAAATTCAAATTTATAATTGGTTTCGACTCATGGCTGTGACTTGAATATGCTATTTACAACAGACTTCGAGTTGTACTTTTACGCCTGGGAAATATTACTTTGGTGTTTTCTTCATTCATTCTGCGATCTCACATTTTGTGCACCCCTGCACACTTTTCATTCTAGGGCGTCTGTTCTCTACTGCTAACGAATGTTCAAGTGATTCGGTCTTTCTTGTAATGTTCTTTCTCATTACAGCTCGTTTTTTCTCGGAAGAACGGTTGTTTGTTCCTAAAGGAAGACACATTGAATAGGTAATGTCAAACGCGAGATAGGTGTAATTTCTCATGAGTAGTTGGAAGATTTGATGAAACGGTATTTCAGTTCCCGCAGAGAAGAAATTTATTTCTCTAAAATGTGGGTTTGTGTGTGAGAAGTGACGCTTGTAAAGAATGTTTAAGAGCTTTGGGACAGTAACCCAATTTATTATAATCCGTTGAGAAACATAAATAGGATTGCTGAAGGAATATTAGTTACATAAACGGTGACTCATTCGGTTTTCAAGTTGTATTTTGAGTTCAGAATTAGTTATGCCCAACAAAACTCAATAAACGGACGTAAAAAACACACAAAAAGACATACGTACTGTTTCTATTCATTTTCAGAATCTGTCTCTTATAGAATACGACTTACTGTAAGCTACTGCTGAAATGTGTTTTACGGAAAGTTTCGTGTGTTCGAGTACAGGACAAAACACATCATGAACTAACTTAATACGAGCTACATGCGAATATCTTGGTAGACAGAGGTCAGAGGCAAAATAATTACAACTGAAGAGACATGGGAATAGGGATTTAGAGAGCAACGAATTATGGTTTCGGCAATGGTGTCCGTGTGTTTTCCTCTCATAGCTAGGCGTCAGTATTGGCACGTACATTTCTCAAAGCGCCCTCCACTGCCGCAACCATCTAATGTGTGAGAGCCAAGGTCGGCCGATCTGT